TAGGCAAAGAAGTTAGAGTCCCTAGGAGTATGCATGAGGAAGAAAATACAACAAGAGAGGTAGAACTTAGAAGAAAAGAAAAAGAAAAGAAAATAGAAAAGAAAGAAAAAATAAAGAAAAGTATAGAGAAAGTTCAAGAGTGGTTAGAAAATGAAAAACAACAAACAATACTCTTAGAGAAGAGTAAGGAGGATAATGTTTCTTCCAAAGGGCTTATGCTTAAAGAGAGTCACTTTACCATTGAAAATGATTTAAAGACTCTCTTCACTCATCAAGACCTTAACTCCTTCTCTCACGTTGCCACTAGTCATGAAGTGGAGATTCAAAAACGAGTCCTTTTTAAAGAAAAAGAATCTCAACTTCAAGATTTAGTGAAGAAGAAGTGGACTTCACTTAGTACCACTTCTTGTGCTACTTCCTTGGTGGTGCCCAAGGTAGATAAGCCTTCTTTCTTTAAGACTCTTTCTACTTTAGTTCTCTTCATAAAGCACCCAACTTTTGGTTTGTATGGTTTGTTGGATACATCTCATGTTGTTGTATCTTCTATTTATGATCTTAAAGCAAGTTCAAACATATTTGAACTTAACTTGGTTACTTCCTATACTAACCGTATTTTGCACCCGGGCTCTTAGCCCGGATTAGTAATGCAAATAGGTGACCTCGGGCACGCGGTGCATGATGTCAGCCCGATATTTGAGCAAATCATACCTGATTCCGAGGATCTCGTCCCAGACTAGATCCGCCCTTCAATTATATCATATCATATCATGATATATCTTATCTCAAGCCCAAAAGCCCAAGGCAAACCTAGATCACCTCAAGGTACGTGCATTATATATATGAGACTATTACTCATGCAAACCCTAACTTTGGCATCGGAGTCTCTTTTGCACGTACCTCCCCCATCTTGGAGCACCAATACACCGGGCAAAGGAGACTCACCGATCATACTAGACGGACCAGCTCTACAACAGATTTCTGGTAAGAACATTTGGTGCCCACCGTGGGGCCGATCAAGACAACTCTTATCGGCCACCTGCATGGTTTCTACTAGAAGCCATATCAGACGAGCGACAGACGACGCAAGCCACTCAATCAACATGGACAGCGACGTTGCAACCCTAAGGCGGTTGATCGACCAAGTTGAGCAGATGCGACAACAGCACGACACTGACCTTCAAAACATGCGCACCCAGCACGAAAATGACCTTGCAGCGATGCGGACCGCTAATGAAGCAGACCTCACAGCGTTACGTGCCGAGAATTAGCGCATTCGCGCCCAGCTCCCTCAAAACCACTCCGAACAACCTTCGCACGGGAGCGACACTCATGAGGAGGAGGCACATTCAGCCTCCCAATCCCGAGCGACGACCAAGGCACCGACTTCACGGCCGGCCACGCACCGGTCTCATGCATCAACGCACAGATCAGGGCAGGGTACTAGCAGGGCCCCCACCCATGTCTCCGAGGGCCAAGAACCCTTCCACCGTCATCCTTTTGTGGATGGCATCATGGAGACCCCACTGCCCCGCGGGTGGAAGCCCCTCCACCTCGACCGCTACGACGGCACCACGGACCCCGACGAGCACATCGACTCGTACACAACTCAGGTAAACCTTTACACTAACAGCGACGCTATATTGTGTAGGGTTTTTCCGACCTCACTCAAGGGACCC